TCCAGGTCTGCCTGTGTCCAGTTTCTATGGCCAGGCTGTGGTCACTGGACCTGTCCTCTCTGAGTATCCAGGTCTGCCTGTGTCCAGTTTCTATGGCCAGGCTGTGGTCACTGGGCCTGTACTTCGTCAGGGTCTCTCTTCTCCATTTCCCAAAATCCTCTGCCCCTCTCACTCCCCCCCAAAAAATTGTTCACTCCTCCCCTCTCACTCTTAGTTTTCTCCCTCCCAGACACGTTGGCCCTTTCTCTACTGCCCTCACACGCCCGGTCTTCTCCTCGCCCCCTCACTCTCGCCGTTCCTATCTGCCATCCTGGTGGCAAGACTCTCTCTGCCGAGATCAGGGTGGGATTAGTGTGGATTAGCGTCATGCCAGGAGTTAATCCACTGCCAGCTCCATAATCCCCGGAAAACCCAAGAGGGATTGACCCCATCGCCTTCCCAGAATCTCCTTCTCCTGCTACCCCGCCACCTCCGCAACGTCTGTCCTTCCCTGGGTGTGCTGCCGTGCCAGTCTGCGTACCCGTCGGCCTAGTCTGACTTCTCCATGGGTTTTTACACACCATGAGATCAGGGCCTTTGCGCTGCCAGAAAGACACCCGACTCACCAGCTGTGCCTTTCCGATAATAATAATATTGAATAAATTGCTTACACTTATATAGCGCTTTTCTGGACACCCCACTCAAAGCGTTTTACAGGTAATGGGGACTCTCCTCCACCACCACCAGTGTGCAGCCCCACCTGGATGATGTGACAGCAGCCATAGTGCGCCAGAACGCTCACCACACACCAGCTATCAGTGGGGAGGAGAGCAGAGTAATGAAGCCAATTCATAGACGGGGATTATTAGGAGGCCATGATTGGTAAGGGCAAATGGGAAATTTGGCCAGGATGCCCAAGTTACACCCCTGCTCTTTTCGAGAAACGCTCTGGGATTTTTAATGACCACAGAGAGTCAGGACCTTGGTTTTACGTCTCATCCGAAGAATGGTGCCTGTTTACAGTATAGTGTCCCCGTCATTATACTGGGGCATTAGGACCCACATGGACTGCAGGCCCCACTAACACCTCTTCCAGCAGCAACCTTAGTTTTTCCCAGGAGGTCTCCCATCCAGGTACTGACCAGGCTCACACCTGCTGAGTGGGTTCAGTGGGGCTGCCAGCTGGGAGTTGCAGAGTGATATGGCTGCTGGTTGTGCTGATGTTTATGTACTAACTGATGCGGCACTTCATTTCAGAGCTGGAACCCCTAGAGATACTGTAGGCTCAACAATATGCTCAGCAAGCTTGTCTCTCTTCCTCCTTTCCTCTGCCTCCCCTGCCTGTCTCTCACATCCTTTTTCCTTGACACGGGTGGGTCACGTGACTACGGTGATGTCATGGCACGCTCACGCTGGGCCGCCTCTCGCCTGCCGGGCCTGCTGTGGAAATCCTGTCTATCTCTCTCTCTCTCTCTGTTCCCTGCTCGGCAACGACTCTTTTCCCTAAAACTGTCTTAAGGTCAAAGTCTCTCTCTCTGGTCTGACCACATCACACCCAGGGCAGAGGAATGCGTGGCCAGAGCTCACCACTAGCTGCAGCGATAGGAATAACTCTTTTGGAGATGCTGATGTGGTCTTGTGCTTTCGTTTTAATTCACTGCAGTCTTGATTTTGAACTGAAAGCTTTCCAGCACATTAATCCGTTTCTGTGAATGGCCTGGAAGTGCTGATTCACAGCCTTTCGGGACTTAGAGGTGATTGCGGGGAATTTTGTTTGAGGTGAGGGGGTGGTGATGAGGGAGCTTGATGATTCTTTGAGCTCGTTGGAAATTTGCCTAAATTTGTGGAATGGTCAACAAAGTTTTTCTTTTGATGTGTGCTCCTCCATTTCAAAGCTATTTTCTACAGGTCATTGCTTCTCTCTTCTCTGGGCAGCCAGGTCTGCCGGTGTCCAGTTTCTATGGCCAGGCTGTGGTCACTGAGCCTGTCCTCTCTG